GAGACTTTCAGTACCTTGGAAGTAGAGATTGTACCTTATTCCATTTTGTACCCCACACATCACTTACTACAGTACCTACCAGTACATAATGATTACTCATATATGTACTAAGTGAATGAATGGGCAGATCATAGTAATAAACTGAGAATTTAGAGGTAGGGTGTTAGAAGCGAGAACCAAGGAAAGGGGTTCACAAATGGGAATAGGCAATGTTTTTAGCATGGAGGAAAACAAGGTTATCACATAAGCCTTTTAGAAGCTGGGTTTGATATGTAATGATGAAAAGCACACCAGGTGACCACACACACTTGGTTAGAAGGGCGCTCAGCAGCGACCTTCTGTTCTCGACAGAAGCCCCAAATCCCCAGCAACACCTTCTTCCAGTTCCCCAGCTGTTTCCTGGCATGACTTCCAGACACTTTGGCACAGAGCATGCCCACACTTACAAATAGCTATGCTACAACAGTGGATAAAAATCCAGTATGTCTTGTATTGTTCCATTTTAAGGCTGTTAATTCAGTCATGAAAATACATGATTTGGGACTTTCAGGACCAGAAGCTAATACAGTTTAATACCAAGCAGAAGAGGTTATTAAATATTATTTCTGTTGGCAAGATTTATAGTCACAAAAGCATTTCCTCAGCCTTACTGTGTTTTATTAGAATATTTTAGTAAATGAGTTTAGAAAACAGAAAGTATTTCCAGTGAGTTTGTCTTATAGCCCAATGACTTCAAACTCTGCATTCAAACACTGACCCCTGAACCAGCAGCAGTGGTATAACGGAAGCGCTGGGGAGAAATGCAGGCCCCACCCCACCTACTGAAGCATAATCTCCATTTTTATAAGATCTCCAAGTGACTCCTGTTCATATTAAAGTTGAAGTACCATGGCCTTAGAGAACAAAAGGTTTGATTCTGAAAACAAGCACGTGAATTCATTTTAAACTGTACAACGTTTTTTGGCCCTCAAATATGAATAGAGTAAGCTCATTCATGAGAATTTTGTATTGACATGCAAATTACCAATTTCACAGAAATGGGGAACTAAAATCTCATTAGAAATCTACATTGATGTTAATTTTTAAAAGTATGTTCTGCTTGAATAGATACTTCTACACAAAAAATAGAAGCTTCAGTAGAGGATATATCTTCTCTATGGCATTACTGTTCTCAACTGCCATTACATGTGCGTGTTCTGCAGTAACAGCCTATTGTATTTTTGCTGAATCTTTCATTTACCCGCCTCTCTACTGGGACACTCTCAAAGCCCTTCACACACTGCGTGTCCCCTACCCGTGCTAAGCCGCTTCAGTGGTGTCCAGCTCTGTGTGAGCCCGTGGACTGCAGGCTCCTCTGTCCATGGGGTTCTCCAGGCAAGAGTACGAGACTGGGTTGCCATTTCCTCCTCCGGGGATCTTCCTGACCCAGGGGTCAAACCCGCATCTCTTAAGTCTCCTGCTTTGGCAGGCAGGTTCTTTACTACTGGCACCACCTAGGACACCTGTGTCTCCTGCAGCAAGGAACGAGTGTGTACCAGGCACAAGGTTCCTGCCATTTATGATCCAGACTGACAAACCAGCCCCCCCCTCCCCCTGAAGTCCCAAGGCCGCGGGACAGAGCGGCGCTCCTCCCCGGGCCAGGGCTCCACTCTCAGCTCTGCATTAGCTGGCAGGCAGCAGAAACGCAGAGGTCTGCAGTGAGCCGCCAGGAGCTGAGAGAGATGCAAGGTCCCCAGAGAAAATAAGCTGAGGCTGACAGGCACTGTAAGAGCCTTGAAGCTGAGTATCAATCAAGGCACGTCTCACTGGTAGTATTCCCAGAAGCATTATAATGAACCACAGGTTCAAAGACAGGGGAAAAACAGGGCTAAGTATAGAATAGCACTGGGAAGCAACTATAACCCTTAACTTGCTCAGATAAAACCTTCCTGTAACATCAGTGCAACCCATTTTGGGCAAGTCAGAACCAATCCGCTTTTATAAAAAAAAAACATTATAACAGTCACAACGTTCTTCATTAAATAACTCAAAATATGGTGGGTGCAGACATGTTTCAGAAAACAACTTCTATGCAAAAACAAAGAATTCAAATATAAATAATACAATCCCTTAAATCAAATTCTGTCAGTAAAAACAACCATAGAAAATAAGAAAAAAATGCTGCAATTTATACTTTTTCTTACATATTAGGTTATTTGATCATGAAAGAATTTCCTTTAAAAAGTGATGTCATCTGTGTTTTGTTCTTCACTGTATCCTAAAAGTGGATAAATCAATTTACCTGGAAAAGACAATGCACTTCTCTGACCTTCAGAGAAGAATACGCTTATTACAAAAGACTCTTCAGGACTGAGAATGAGCTTATCATCGTGTGGAAAGGATTTTTTGATAAAACCACCACCTCTCTAAAACCCGAATTTCCAGAAATGGAAGTACTAACAGAGCACAGGGACTGGAAGAAAATTCAAGATGAGAATTGTTTTCTTCCTTTTCTGTACACCCTCTGGACCAGGGGGAAATGTGTGGGAGGATGGTCCATTCATCACTGTCTTCCGATCAGTATCTAGCACTGGATCTGGCAAGTAACAGTCCAGAACAAATGTTCACACAGACACGCCCAGAGGAAATGATGGACGCCCTCCTTGTGCTAGACTGCAGTTCTTCCCCAGGATGCCTTATGAAAGAATGTGCCCGTGAGAGAGTCTGCAAACGTGTGATCCAAACATTCTTCTGCAGAATTCACTCATTCAATTCACAAATGTTTCACTGAGTCACTTATTACATGCTAGGCACTGTCCGAGGCACTGGGGAAAGAGATGTGAATAACCCTATATTGATATTTACGTTATATCTGGCAAGATCAAACTTAACAATTTCACTTTCATATTTAAAAAGAGAAAGAGAACATTTTCTCTCAAGTATTTTAAGAGTCACCATAATTCCTGCAAAAAAAAAGTGTCAGTCGTTAAGTTGTGTCTGACTCTCTGCCACCCCATGGACTGTAGCCCACCAGGCTCCTCTGTCCACGGAATCCTCCAAGCAAGAATACTGGAGTGGGTAGCAATTCCCTCCTCCAGGGGATCTTCTTGACCCAGGGATCAAACCCACGTCTCTTGCATTGCAGGTGGATTCTCTCCTGTGTAAGCCATCAAGGAAGCCTAGGTAACTGCTGGGCACTGAGCAATGAGCATTACACAGTAAGTCACAGTCCCTTTTTGCCGAGGCTATCCAGAAGCTTTGACTTACTCTTAATGTGAAACAACTGCATCGACACTGTCACTGAACAATCTTAACACCTCTACGAGTGGGACAACCATGTATCGCTTTTTTCTACCTGTTTTCTTGGGGTATAACTGACACATAGCACCGTATAAGGGTAAGGGGTAAGCATAATCACTGAGTGTATACACTCATGAAATGATTACCACATTAAGTTTAATAAACATCCATGATCTCATTTAGAAACAAACAAACAAAAAAAAATGTATTTCCCCTGTGATTCGAACTCTTAGGATTCCCCCTCACAACTCTCATATATAGCACACAGCAGCATTAACTAATGTTTCTTGAAAGAATGCAATAGGAAATAAAAAGCACCACTTATGAAGTAATCTTAATCCCCTAAAACTGAACCTGATTTCAATCTAATCAAGCCTAAGAAACAGTGTATAGGAAACAATTGTTTAGTCACTCAATCATGTCCAACTCTTTGTCACCCCAAGGACTGTAGCCCACCAGGTTCCTGTGTCCAAGGGGTCTCCCAGGCAAGAATACTGGAGTGGGCTGCCATTTCCTTCTCCAGGGGATACTGTGGACCCAGGGATTGAACCTGCATCAGCAGACAGACTCTTGACCACTGAGGTGCCTGGGAAGCCCACATAGGAAACAATGAATACACGTAATATGATATCATGAGGATGCAAACAGTTATGTCAAAATAAAGGAAATTTTAGAGGAAAATGATAGCTTATCTTCATTTGGGCTCTTGCCAAAAGTAGATCCTTGAGACAAGCAGTTTATTTGGGAGAAAAAGTTAAGAACCCACAGATAAGTGGGGAATTAGGATGGGAAAGACAGTCAGTACACAATATAATATAGTGAACTAAACACCAATGCTTTCACTTACATAATTTAAAGCTTTAAACTCTCTTATTTACCAGGTTCTTCTGGTAGCCCATGCATTCCTACAATGCAGAATATGAATATGAAGGAAATATCTCCTACATATGTCAAAAAACGATTTTATTTCACTACTAAACATGTAAACTTGACCTTTTTTTGACAAATTAATAGCCTTCAATGAAAAACTGCTCTTCAGTGAAAGTTTTGATTTCCTATTTTCTACATTCACTTAGTTTTAGAATGAACTCAGGCTTTCTAGCTTCTTATTCTTTAGTACTATGTTTTAAGGTAAAAATATTTTTATTACCAAATCCAAGCATGATTCCATTATTATACAGGCCTAACATATTAATCCACTACTAACTTTAAAAATGTTATCTTCATAACATCCTGTTACTTCTTTTTTTTTTCCCATTTTTTAAAATTTAAATTTTATTAAGAAATATACATATAAAAGCACATACACATACAGTTTAAAAAAGAAACCACCTACCCAGCTTCAACAATCACCACCAGTTCTTCTGAAGGATCCATCTTGCCCTTCATGATCTCCCTCCAATACACTGAATCGTGTTAAATCATTTCCTTGCTTTCCATTTACTATATATTTACGGACTGGTTTTGACTTTCACAGAAAAGGAATTGGATTATTCTTCTGCAACTTGCTTTTCTGACCAGAGACTCTCCATGTTCACATGTGTAGCGGTAGTTCAGTCTGACTTCTTGGAATCCCACGAGCTTTATACTTTTTCTATGCCACTATAGTTTTCTTTCACCTCATTTTAATGTCGATCTTCACTTTATGTCGTTTTCAGTTTTCTTCCAAAAATCTTCCAACAGTATTCCTCTGTCTGATCTGAGGTCTTATCAGATCAGTTTTAACTGGACTGAGTGTCACCTTCAGATTTAATGTCTTCACTGGTCCCATTGACCTCATTCTTAGTATCACTTTCCTTTGAGTCAGTGTTTGTGTCTTCACTCTGCTTTTCTCGACTACTGGACTTCACTAATTCTTCTACAGTAGCTTTAATTTTGGCATAGCCCATGTGCTGTTTTCCCATCAAATGATCATCTACCCGGGACTGGGCACCTCCCACTATCAAAAAGGCTCCATACACTTCACAAACTTCCATTTGCTTTTCTTGGGCAGCAAAACTTTCAACTGTCGAAGTTGTGGACCTAAGCAACCCTCTCTCTTCTTTTAACTGTTCAACTAATTTCATCATTCCCTGGGCTTCTACTTTTCCTTCAGATTCTAATTCTTCAATCTGATGCAGGAGTACATCAATTTTATCTGTTAGAACCTGAATTTTTTCTTCATTTTTGCCTGTTGGACCAGCTGCCCCAGACGACTGCTGGTTTTGAGACAATGCCAAACGAGCATGGCCTCGTCTAATTTTACGTTCTACTTCTGCCAGTAAACTCTGTAAGTATCGCAAAAAATCTCTCTCATAGCCAACTTTCATAAAATGAGAACTCTTCTCATACTGTTTTTGTAGATTTTCATCATGAATTTTTTCACATGGTCCTGTAGATCACTTCTCTGGAGCTGTTCACTTTCTCTAAAGAATCCTCTTCTCTTCTGCCTGATGCCTTCAAATCCTGAGCCTGTCCAGGGTTCTGCTGATCAAACTCTTGCTTCTGTTTAATATCCCCTTCTGCAGGCTTTTAGGATACAGGTTTCTCTGCTATTCTTCCATCCACTTGTCATCTTCCAAAAATTTGTTGACATCTCTAATGTTATCTCGTCTTCCGTTTACACCAAGATCAGAATGCGTGTTTGTGAACAATTCCGCAGGACAAAAACCACAGAGGTAATATTTACAAACGCTCTCGTGGTCCCACCGCACTTTGCTGCGCTTCTCATCTGGGGCGAGGTTTCGGTCCCTGCCCATTAACTCATCCAACAATTGCGCAGCCGAAATCATGGTGCTTTCCTCAGGCGGCTGCTCCCACCAGCCCTGGCACCTGCCAAAGAAAACGCTGGCAACACAGTCGCCATCCTGTTACTTCTAACCAAACCAATTCTAAATGTCAATCACATCCTTGAAAGGCCATATACTAGCTAAGATATCTAACCTAATTAAGTAATCATTAGAAGAGAGACTCTCTAATGCTGCATCGTATGCTCCATAGTATTTTAATTAACTTCTGTAAAGCAAAGGGGTTTGTCTTTGTCTTATTTGGTCTAAAATCTCCCCCAGAGATGGTCTCAAAGCTCTCATATATGTTAAGGGTTATTATCCTATAACCTCCATCACCACCATGTAGTTTTTGTTTACTAAAATATTAATCAGGAAATGACTGTGGATTGCTAAAAGGAAATCTGAATTTAAGAATCTACCTTCTTTGTACATTTTTGTTTCCTTTTTCTTAACTGCCATGAGATAGAGGTAAAGAAAGAAGATGAAAGAATTGGCATAGTTAAGAATTACCAACATCAGAAGTGAGTGAGGGTACATCACTACAAATCTCATGGACATTAAAAGGATAATCAGGGAATACTAAGAATAACCCTATGCTCACCTAGATGAAATAGACCAATCTATTGGTCTATCCTCAAATGACACAATCTACCAAAAAACACACAAAGAAACAGACTATCTAAACAGACTCGATACCTATTAAAGAAACTGAATCAGTAACTAATAACCTTCCAAAACAGAGAGCACCAGGCTCAGATGGGTTCACTGGTGAGTTTTACCAAACATTTAATAAAGGAAAAAAAAAAAACCTACACCTATTCTATACAATCTCTTTCAGAAGACAGGAGCAGAGGAAATATTCCCTAACACATCCTATGAGGCCAGCATTACCTTAACACCAGAGCAGACAAGCCATTACAAGAAGACACAAACCAGTGTCTCATGAACACAGACCGACATTCCTCCAGAGACACCAGTGACCCGCGTCCACAGTGAATAGGGAGAACTATACACAGTGACCAAGGGGGACGTATTCCAGGTATGCAAGACGAGCTCAGCACTTGAAAATCATTTCATGCAATCCATCACAATAGGCTAGAGAAGAAGAGCCATAAGCTCACATAAACACACGCAGAAAACGCATTTGACAAAACCTAACACCACTCATGTACATTAGGAACAGGGGGGAAGTTCTACAACTGTTAATGAACATATGAAAAGTCTACAGCAAACATCATGCTTAACGGTGAAAACCTTGAGCATCACCACTAAGACCAGTTATGAGGCAAGGATGTCTCCTCACACCATTGCTTTTTTTTTTTTTTTGCACACCATTGCTTTTTAAGATCACACTGGACATCCTAGCTAATACAATAAGACAAGAAAGGGAAATAAAACATATGCAGATTGGGAAGGAAAAAAATAAAACTGTCTTTGTTTACAGACAACTTGATAATCCATGCAGAAATTCAAAACAAATGACAAAAAGCTGTTAGAACTAATAAATGATTACAACAATGTTGCAGAATATAATATTAATATACAAAAGTCAATTGCTTTCCTAAATCAGCAATAAACAAGTTAAATATGAAATTCAAAATACACCATCACATTGGCACCATCCAAAATAAAAAGACTTGGTATAAACCTAACAAAATGTATACAAGATCTATATGAGGAAAACTACAAAATTTTGATGAATGAAATCAAAGAACTAAGTACATATTCATGTATCAGAAAACTCAAAAAATTGTCTAGAGGTGAATTCTTGCCAACCTGATCTATACAGTTAATGCAAACCCAGTCAAATTCTCAGCAAGTTCTTCTCTGGATATTAAGAAACTAACTCTAAAGTTTATGCAGAAAGGCGAACGATACAGACTAGCCAACACAACACTGAGGACAAGAACAAGATTGGAGGACTGACACCAGAGACTTCAAGACTGGAAGTCGCAACAACCAAGACAGTGTGGGATAGGCAAAGGTCAGCAGAGATACAGAAACACATCAGTGGGAAAGACCAGACAGTCCAAGGCAGTGCGAGACCGGCAAAGATCAGCAGAGATACAGAAACACATCAGTGGGAAAGACTAGACAGTCCAAAGGCAGTGCGAGACCTGCAAAGATCAGCAGAGATACAGAAACACATCAGTGGGAAAGACCAGACAGTCCAAGGCAGTGCGAGACCTGCAAAGATCAGCAGAGATACAGAAACACATCAGTGGGAAAGACCAGACAGTCCAGAGATAGACCAAGAAAAACAGAACCAACTAACTGGTCCCTGATGAAGGGATAAAGGTGATACAATAGAGGAAAGATAGTCTTTTCCAATAGTGGTGCTGTAACAAACTGCACATGCAAAAACATGAATGTAGACACAGACCATGCACCTTTCACAAAGACTAACTCAAAACAGATCACTGACCTAAATGTAAAACACAAAACTATAAAATTCCTAGAAGGTAACACAGGAGAAAACCAAGATGGGCTTAAGTTGATGACTTTTTAGATACAGCACCAAAGGCATGATCCATGAAAGAATGAATTGACAAGTTGGATATAATTAAAAATAAAATTTTCTGCTCTAAAAATTTTTTTCTTTCTTTTTTTTTTTTTTAGTAAAATTTTACTTTTGCCAACAAAGTGTAGCTTTTATACTGTTTTGTTCATTTATTTCCTTAGTACCTAGTATGTGCCTGATACATGGTAGAGACTCCACAATGTTTGCTTAATGAGCAAAGAGATTAACCAAATAACTTTAAAATTCTTCCATGTTTAGACATCCTACAATAATTTGAGACCTCAAAAGAAGCCCATCTACTTAAAGCTGGAAGAGGACATGAATGACATTTACTTGACTGTGAAAACAGAAGGCATTTTCTGAAACCTTTGCTTGGGGAATAGAACTCAAATTATGACAGTGAAAGGATCACTTTTAAGTAGGAAAAAGAAACATAATTCATTGTACAGCAATAATTCTAGAGACCTCCCACTTACAAAAAGACTTGAGAAGAATATCTAGCCTGCCTTCGGACAAGCAGCAACTAAAAAAGTGATGTCAATTCACAATCAAATGAAGAGAATGAATTTTAAAAATACTGTACTCACCACTGGATTCTATTTTAGAAGAGAGAGAAAAGCAAGTTTCAAACAGCTGAAGTTCACATTCTCTAGCCTTGTGGGGAGGAGTATAATTTTTCTATTTATCATAAATAAAATTAGCATAGCAATTCCAATGAACATTTTGTTTTCAGTAATTCAAAACAAAGTTTTTGGATAAAGAGTAGGTCAGATAGTCTTCTAAATGGAAGTCTCTCAGTAGCTGAACAAATAATTAGATGTGAAGGTCACAAAAATGTATTTTGTAATTTTGAATTTTGTTTTCAACATCATGAGATGTAAATAGAGCACTGAAAAACATGTCCAAAACCTACAAAGATTACTCAGCTATAAATTATTAGTATTACTGTTTAACATCTTATTACCTTTCTCAATTCCTAAATTCCCATCAGTCTCCCTGGCCTCTTCTTTCTTAGGTCAAAACAGTACTTATTTAGAGTTACAAAGCTGAAGGGGACACTAATTTATCTGGTTGAATAATACCCTCCCCTCCTGGGTCATGCAGAACTCTGCTCAACAACATCCTTGGCAGAATGGCCATTTAGCCTCCAACTGAACACTGGATATGACAGAGAACTCACAGGATGAAGCAACACACTTCGGAGTGGAAAGTTTTATCCTATCAGACAGGACATCTGCTCACCTTTTCCTCCCACACCTTTAACAGACCACTCTATTAGGTACAGCTCACCAGGAACAGGGCCACCTGCTCTCCCACAAGCTCAATCAAGTTCTTTGATTATAGTCTATGGGGATGGAAGCGCTGGACCAGTAGGGCCTGCAGGGAATTCCATTAAAGGCACATTCTGTCCTTCAAGAGATTCATGATTATGCATGAAAAGTTAGCACACAAGACATATGATACCAAGTATTGCAAAGCTTACAGAAAAATTTAGGAGAAGGCAGACAGCGCAGGATGGGTGAAATGAGCAGCATAGTTCCCACAGATACAGTGAGTGAAGAGGGGCCTGGCTACAGAAGCCCACGTAGCACAGTGCTGGGCGATGAACCTGGGAGCTTGTGTCAAGGGAAAAAACCACCAAGCGTCAGGAGAGTAAGTGTGTGCTGTGCTGTGTGATAAGCCGCCTCAGTCGTGTCCGACCTCTTTGCGACCCTATGGACCAAAGCCGGCCAGGCTCCTTTGTCCAGGGGGATTCTCCAGGCAATACTGGAGTGAGTTGCCATACCTTCCTTCAGGAGATCTTCCCAACCCAGGGATTGAACCCGTTTCTCTTAAGTCTTCTGCATTGGCAGGGGAATGCCCTACCACCAGTGCCAACGGGGAAGCCCAGAGTATAATACTCTTGAAAGCCTGACGAAGGGACTGACATCTGCTACAGGAGAAGAAAGAAGTCATGGGAGACTTCTCAGTAAGGAAGGAGCCCTGATCTTTCAGTTCTGAAATCACTGTGCTCCTCTCTTTACTGGAGACAAGTAAGATAATACAGCTAATTGAGTGAAATGGTAATACAAAGAAGAAAGGGAAATAAGGACTGGGGTGGGGGAGATTTGTAGAGCTTTCAAAAGAAAGACAAACAGGTCATGGTGACAAACTAAAGGGATGCAAAAATCAATGAGGCAAAGCTATAAATCCAAGTACCTAGAGGAAATGAACGTAAGACTATTTTAGAAAAGCAATTACTATGCAATCAGTGATTTACTTCAATTTCACTAGGTATATGTCTTGCCCAGTCAATGAGGAAACAGCAGACAGAAGATGAAGTGCCTTCTACCAACTAGCAGGAAGAGTCTGGAAACTGTATTTGCCTACTTTTCACACCAGGACTAAAACACCCAGAAACGAACTGAGTCCAAGGCACTAACAGAACACCAACAGACGCCCGAGCCACTCCAGTCTTTAGAAGCAACAGGTAAAGCTGAGAGTTAGAATCGCTGGGTAACAAGATGTGATGAGAAGGGAGAAAAGCAGCTCTTAGACAGCACATCTGTCTCCTCACTGTCCTTCTGCAACCTGTATGAAGGCCTTTTCCCTTTCCCCAACCAGCAAGGGGGAGTGGAAGACAGGAAGAGAGAGAGAAAACAGTGAACCACTGAAGTATAAAAGAAGCAGGGGGAACAGACTGTATGACTTCAGTACCTTCAACCATGAAATTTTTACTCCTAGTCTTATGTCCTTGGATACATTCCAGTGTCTCTTAGTTTATAGTCTATGGGAAGCTGAATAGAATTTGTATTCTACTGTTATGTGAAACCTGTATAAATCTTAATTATGTTGAATTGGTTCATAGTGCTTTCAGGTCTATTATATCCTTCTACTTCTCTGTATAGTCATTCTATTAATTTTTGAGAGTTTGATATTGAAACTCCAACTAAAAAACCTTAATTTATCTACTTAAAAAGATAATTGTAATATATCATGGAACTATATATGTAACTTTGCTCTGTATTTTCCAAGTCTCCTGTAAATGTGTTACCATACTTTCATAATTTGAAAAAAAACAAAGATGCAGGAGGAGAAAAGAGAGAAAAAGAAGTAAGGGGCACACTGTTTCAAGAAGAAACAGAGTACCTGACAGAACAAAATGCTATCAGGGTATGCGCGGGAGACTTACTAAAGGGGAGTCTAAAAACATCGTCACAGTCCTCATTTTAAAAGCTAAACCATGTCTGGCGCCACTAGTGAGGCAGACACAAGCTCCTACACTTACACACTTTCAGTCTATAAGCTTAAAATATGTTTACATGGATGCAAATCAACAAAACCACAGACTCTGCCTGCCACCAACAGATAAAACGAGCCAATTGTTAGGAGGTGTCACTGTAGACTTAGGGAGAAGTGAAGTGAAAGTCGCTCGGTCATGTCCGACTCTGTGCGACCCCATGGACTATACAGTCCATGGAATTCTCTAGATCAGAATACTGGAGTGGGTAGCCTTTCCCTTTTCCAGGGAATCTTTCCAACCCAGGTCTCCCACATTGTGGGCAGGTTCTTTACCAGCTGAGCCCCAAGGGAAGCCCCAGACTTAGGAACTAAGGCATTAACAAATATTTCAGAAGCTAAACAGAAATAGAAATGCTTCTTTATGTTTTTTTAATGATTTCCAGAAAAAAAGGGAAAAAAAAGACACACTTGCACACATTTGGCTTGTGTGAATGGAATTGACTTAAATTACCTAAAACAACTTAGTAATAGGAAATACGTCAGTCCTAACAATGGGATGATAAACTTTGATAGTAATACAAGTATCACGCATTTCTCTTAGAAGAAAATGTGCCCAGAAGATACCCTTGTTCCTTCCTTAAACTAAAAACCATTTAAACAACCTGAATAAAAGCACATTTTAAGCCATTAAGAAAATATCTTCTATCCCATTTTTAGACTATTCAGGGCTATTTATTAACTTAGCCTTCAAAGTAATATTCCAGAATAAATACTATACTCTTAGAAAATCAATTCATGTTGGAATATATACAACTTTCTGGTAATTTCTTCATATATCACCATTTACCTGGCATAAGAAATAACAGCTGAAGATGATCAACAGAAGTCAGTACCACTGTACATGTAAGTGTTCCCCAAATAAGGTACGCTAAGAACGCCGTACACTGAGGCGTCCAACACCACACTGTGAGTGCAGTTAACTGCTTCCTGGGTGGTTTCCCTTGCTCATGGCCAAATGAGAAGAAGATTTAAAATCTGATTATTCTGCTACAGAATATTGAATACTTCGCAGAATTAAAAGCTATTTCTTGAAGGCTCATCTTATACACCTTAAACCACCCTTGTGTTCAAGACAATAACTAGTGTATGTAAAGGAGGTCTTTACAACTTAGTGTTGTGGACTGGGAAACATAATTTACCCTTCTCTTCTGACCAAGTACCCATCTTCCCAATTGGAGGGGGTTGTGGATGTATTCATGAGATTAGAAAAGGAAGACCATATGATGAGTTTTTCTTGATCCAACTTGAAATACTCTTTATAAAAACTATCTTATATGCCAATAGGTTCTTACCGAATACCTTTATCACAATTTCTAAACTCAAAAAGATCTGTTATATCCTCAGTTTTCATCAAATCTACAAGCAGATCTAGCTTAATGGCCAAAACTTACTAAAAGTGGTATATATTATACATGCTTATGTGTAAATAACTTCACATGCTGATAGAAGCTATATTTAAGGGATAACTACAGTATATGCAAGTTAAGCTTATGGGAACATATGAAACTGTATAACCAGCAATTTGAAATCTTCCACACTTACACAAATAGGATTTTTATATTTACATCTTTTCAGTGACCAAAATATGCTGCAATAGTCTTCTCTTCTCTAAATTCTACTAGAGAAAGATTATATATTTCTAAGGAATCATCATCATTTTCCAAATATCTCATCAACTACAACAGTCAGGGATGTATTTTTTTAATGATTTTGAGAGTATAAAGTACTGGAAATGATGCCTTTCTGCATGGAGCAAATGATACCT